CCCGGTGGAGGCGTCTCCCAGTATTCCACATGCCGAGTGGCGGATTGGCCGTATATTGCACCATGCGCGTGGGGATGGATCGTTATTCCCACATGCACGTGGGATTGGATCGTTATTGCACATGCACGTGGGGATTTGACCGCATTATTCCACATGCGCGTGCCGGGGCATTTGCACATTATTGGCCGCATGTGCGTGGGGATTTGCACCATCCTATTGCCACATGCGCCTGTGGGATTTGACCATTATTGCCACATGCGCGTGGGGGATTTTGACCATCTATCTGCCACATCGGCCGGGGGATCTTGACCGCTCTAATTGGCACCCATGCGCGTGGGGATTTGACCATATTGCCACATGGCGCAGTCGCCGGATGGCAGTATTACATGGGTCGCCCATTGACCTTATTGCGGATCGCTGGGGGATCTCGACCGTCTATGACTGGGCCGTGGACCTTTGACCGCTTATTGCACACCCCGCTCACCGTGGGACCTTGACCCGTTACTTGCACACCCGCGCATAGCGATTTGGCCGTTATTCGCACATGCCGCGCCTGGGGCATTTCAACCTTTATTTGTTCGTGCACTCAATGTACACAGGGGGGATTACGTTTGCCCCCACAGTGCGGAAGTGTCTATCCTTTGCACACCTAGGTCGATGTAGCTCTACCATGTGACTGTCTGTTGGTCTGTTCCGGTTCACCTGCGTGCGTCACTCGTGGTTAAACCGCAATGCTCGGCTCCGATACTGTATCCATTGGCACATCAGTCCCTTTAAATCCCCCCTACGCAATGCCTCTAATTTGCCATGCAAATACCAACATCTAACTATCAGTAATAACGTTATGACAACTCGGATTATGAATTCTCACACTGATGCCAATGATAAATAGCCTGATATACACGTCGGATATGTATATTACATGTCTATTATCAATTCTAATGTTTTAATGGTTGCAAGCTCTAACATCATTTTGCGTGCCACATCAACACTTGCATGCCTGGCAAATGTTTGAACACCATTGTAATGACCTTTCAGAAAATAGTGTTACCAAAAATTTGTTTATTGACATTCCGTGCTTGTCAAATACCCGATGGCTAAACATGACAAAAGCATAATCTATAACATAGATGAATATTTATACGATAATGTATATGGCATTTATTCATTTGGCTGTGGACCATCTGTAGGCCTCTTAATAACTAGACTTTTAACCATATCACATATTATCGATATCAAACCCAGGTAACAATTAATGTAAAACTTATAATACATCCCAACATGTTACCCTTTCTAGATTCCTCACATACTACAAACATAATATATATTTTCAATTTACATACATAGCCTATTTTACCACCATTAGTATTCCATCATTTAATTAATCATAACACACATCTATAATCTACATAATTAAAATTATAAATACTACAAAATAAATATATTCAAAACACAATTATACAATTAACAAGCTCTATCATATTTACTGGTCATCTCCTGCTTTCAAACAATCAGACGTGTGTATACACCTAATGGATTTCTTTTGCCATTTAAAGTTCATCCTGACCGGTACTTGCTAGCTGTTGTGTGACAAGAAAAATAATATCTCAAGAAAATCAAGTCGATTATACACGCAACACTGCAGCGCAGCCAATCTCAATCTTTGTGTCAATACGCTTACCCATTTAATGGAGTAATACATTCCAGCCCAGAATATGTATCCAGGTGAAAAAATTCCCCCAAAGCCGGGAGAGATTTTATTTTGGCGAAAAACTCCCCTAAACATTTCTATTTCATTTCATCGAATGCACAGAACACTGCACCATCGACTTAATATTCCAACATGAAAACTTCACGGCCACGCCACAACAACGGAGCCGCCAAACAACCGACGGTCCAACAAAAACGTATAAGCTAACGCGTGTCTGCAGGTTCTTTTCGTTTTGTTTACACACAGTCTGATGGCCAAGCCCAATGTCCGCCAACATTTACGGCATTGTAGCGTTGTTCGGTTTAGAAACACAGTACATCGTGGAGCGGGAGCCAAGAGGTGACCTGCCCAAAGCTTCCATATAAAACGACGTCATTGTAACCACCTGCAGCGTGTTACCGATTGGTGCAGCACCGTATCAGTAGTGGCAGCAGCCGCCCTACCCTACAGTCCGCGCATCGAGCTCAAGTCCGGGATCCGTCCACTCCTCGCTGTTTGCATGACTCTATTGCTACGGAATCTGTTTGTAGCCAATTGCGGCTGCTGGTATTTGAACGCGCCTACAGCGGTTTTCGCGCTCGCGTACACGAGAATCCGCTCGCTAGCAAGACCAGAATAAACACCGCGTGCTTACGTGGTGCCATCGACCTTCCTTGCCAACTACTATTCCGTCTTGATTATAGCAAACACCTTGAAGCGCCAGTCTTAAAGGTGCTGTCCGTCCCTAAAACCGCGAAATGTCATGCGGCGAACACCTTACCACGCGTCATGAAGATTTACCAACTCGTGTCATCAGTTAGTCGCGCCTTTCCAGCACTGCCCAATTTGTTTAAGATATCCAGTAAACATTCAGCAGCAATTGCGTTGCAATTGCAAAGTATCTACGTGCTTTACCATGGTTACGACGTTTTGAGCCGTGAATATCTGGTTTATCCGTAGTAGGTACTTTATCCTTACCCACAAACGGCGCGCGACCACTCATTTTAATATTCATTTCATATTTATTTAACTATTTTTACAAAACGGACGTCCGCTACAAGTGCTATCGTATCGTATCAGTCCAGGCAAGAGCGCGTGCCAATTCTCACACTGTATCGTACTCGTAAAACCTCTCCCCTTGGCGGCGGTATCTGCTGCCTCGCCCACACATCCTTCTCGTAGTCCGCGCCGGCACGCCTGCGCCGTCACGCCCGCTACTGGCCGGTCGCCTGCTTTTAGATCCCGGATCCGGAGAGCGGCGAGCGGGTTTAGGCCTCAGTACGGGGCGTGGATGTGACGAAGCAAACTCGGGGCGGTTACGGAAATGCACGCGGGCAAGTCCGCTGATACAAGTTTAGAAGGAGAACCCTCATAGTCGCTGACAACGCACATCTTTGTTTGATATTAGTTTCGATTCATTAATGTCGATATGTCTATGGACGTCTCGATGTGAACGTTGATGTGATGGTGCACGTGATGTGATGTGACGTAACGTGACGTGACGGTTGATGTGATGTGATAGGATAGTGTTATGACGTGACGCGGGATGTGATGTGACCTGTGACGTGATGTGATGCTGACTGATAGTATGTGATGTCGATGCTGACGTGCACGCTAACGTGACGTGACGTGACGTGACGTGATGTGATGTGATGTGATGTGATGTGATGTGATAGGATATGTTATGTTATGATATGATATGATATAACATGATATAATATAATATAATATAATTATTGAAAAATGAAAATAATTGAAAATGAAATCTTAATAAGTATATTGTATAATTAAATTAATTAATTGGATTGATTTTGTTTCGGTTTTATCGTTCTCCTGGGCGATCGTGTGATTGGTCTATGCAAAGCATTAGCGTAAAGGAAGTTGTTTTGCCTCAATTTCGCACAAGGCATTCGTGCAAGAATAATAGGCGATGAAAATTGAGGCGGGTTGTGGGCGTCATGCAACGCGATGCAAAAACAGCTGTTATCGAAGATCTGGGTTCTCAAAACGTGGGGTTTTATAAGCTGCGTCTAGACGCGGCTGATATACGTTTTTCTTTCAAATTATAATAACACGACTATAACTATAATAACAATTATAATAACCCTTTTTTTAAATGTCCGCGCAATATAGAAATTAACACACGCCCGTCTCTAATCGGCGTCTACACTTAGTTTTCACTTGCGATAACCCTATTTTTACTTGTGCTTTTAACTTTCACCTCCGGTATTCACTCACCCGATGTTGTCATGATGTTGCGTAGCTCCGTTTGCAGCGACGATGAGCTAGTAACAGTAATCTCAGTTGATGTGGAACAGCGCGCGTCGGCGGCTCTTATATATGCCGACCCCGTCCTGCGTCTGCCGCGTCGGCGTCGCTGTTGTCGCCATGAGCCCCGAGGCGACACGCGTCGCGTGTCCCTGTCAGCCGTAAGAACACGCGTACAACTGTGTCTGTCGGTGACGAGGCATCGTAGCACGTGATCGCATCACCCGCCACTGACACAACAACTATCTTGGTTGCGACTTGTGTAGCTCTAGTACTATAGCCCGCTTTCATTAACTGCCGCAGGTTAATGAAAGCGGGCTATAGTACTAGAGCTACGTTTTGTGGTGAGGCAGGAGTAGCGCGCGCGCGCCCGGTCGCCTGTTGTATCGGACGTCGGACGTCTTCGCTCAACGACTGAGCAGAAGGTGTCATCGGGTGGCAACGAATGCGTTTATGAAAGCAGGGATGTGCTGTTTATCTATCTGTCTATCCATCTATCTAGGCCTATATATGTCCGCCCGTCCGCCCGCCCGTCTGTCCGTCTGTGTGTATGCGTGCATGCGTGCGTGCGTGCGTGCGTGCGTGCGTGCGTGCGTGCGTGCGTGTGTACGTGCGTGCGTGTTCTTGTGTAAACACACGAAGTTGCGTAACACAAGCTGTAAATTATTTGCGTTGTCGTAATAATGTCAACGATGTTTCGATCAGCTAGAGGCGCGGTCTGTTAGGCCGCGCGTGTAGGCGCGCGTGCGTGTGTAGGTGAAACACGCGCGCGTACACACCCAGCGCTTTAGTGTTTTCCTTGTCTCGGGTTACGCTGTTGATTAATTCATGGCCTGCTTACCGTTTGGCTGTGGTGGCGGCTGCGGTGTACGCATGAAGAATGGGCTCGTTTTTTGTCAATGACAGATTTTACGCTAAGTGCAGGATTATAACGTGATTCGTCACACTTTGCAATATATCACCCAGATGCTATTGGAGCTTCGAGCATTTTTTAAACGACATTCCTCTCGTTGGAATTTTTTCGGCTATTTTATCATCTTTGACGTGAAAACAGTCTGGCGTAGATTGACCGAGGTAACGGTAGATTGGTAGATGTTATAACTTAGCATCGTTGCAGAGTCGTTGCGGGCCATTCTATACACGCACCCGCACGCTCGCACGCACGCACGCACGCACGCACGCACGCACGCACGCACGCACG